CATTTAATGCTTACAGTAACATAATAGAAAATTGCTATATTATTATCATTTTATAGGAGATGGAGATTGGAGAGGCAAAATAACAATCCTAGGTCACATACTAGCTACCCTGTTTCCCCAAAAGTAAGACATCCCCTGAAAATTAAACCTACTTGCGGTTTTGCCTCTTGCTGAAATATAAGGCATCCCTCCAAAAATAAGACCTCCCCGAAAATAAGGGTTTGGATTGTTATGATGATGTTCCAGAAGATGATGACATGACTGTCATTGAATAAATGAATAAATGAACCATAGATTGATGGAAATAATGGTAGTAACAAGAAATTCTTGATAATGTAGGGTTCACAGTTTGGTTATGCTGGTTTGTGATGACAACTACTACCATAACTTATACACGTAATAAATTTCCTTTTTTGTTGTTCAACAATAAATGTGTACTGTATTCTTCTTCTTCATGGAAAAATAAGACATCCCCTGAAAATAAGACCTAGCACATCTTTGGGAGCAAAAATTAATATAAGACACTGTCTTATTTTCGGGGAAACAGGGTAGAATCAAAACCCAAAGCAGAATTTAAGGTTTCTATTACTTGTGAAAGGTCACTAAATGAGGCTCTTGGGCAATTGTGTTAGCTCCCAATAATGCTAATCAATCCTTTTGTTGATTTATTTAATATCGCTGTCTCATTTTTCTCACTGGTAACTTGGACATAAAAATATATTCCTCATCATGTTCTGGGAAGAGTTTTATTTGTAATGTATGTGAAAGGACTATTACACTAATGCAGCTTTATAATAATGTTCATTTTTATTTTCATTATTTTATAACATCTCTCAATATAAATTAGAACATGGATTTGGAATGGAGCTTAGCAAGTAATGACCTCTACAAAAGTCCTGATTTGTTCGTAAGGATGTGCACTGCTCTTCCTGCACATACTTCAGATTTATGATTATTTCATTTTCACTACTTTTAATTCTGTTTCCACTAGCATAGTGTATGGTGCAAAATTTAAGGTTTATCCACGGGGCAGAAAAAACATTATGCTATGGGAAAAGAGTTCTGTATTGCACTGCAACGACCTATTTGTCTGACTTTCTTCCCCATTAGACTACAGATTTTCAAGAGCATTGATCAGGCCTTATTCATCCATTCATCTCTAGAATCTATCAAGTGATGGTTCATAGTAGGAACGTCATACATTATTAGTATATGAAAGAATAAATCATTGATTTATTTAATAGCTAAATAAACCTAACATAGACATGACACTTTGGGGCTACCTTTCAAATTGGAGATCTTGCTACTTTGATAATGATTATTGTGATATCACTGGTAGCAGAATCTCTAAAGCTTTATTTAATATACCCATTTATCATAGATTCTGTATCTACCATGTGAAAAACAACTTTGGGGGGATTAATAATTCATATAATTGACATAATTTGATAGAAACTACAAAAAACCCTCGTCGTTTCTCATAAAAATAACACTTTCTCACCCTTCTTCCTTCCTGCACTGTGGGTTGCTATCAATCCACCTACTTCTTTTGACTAAGGCAGCTCTTTCTTAGAGAGTCTTGTAGAATCTCAACATCTAGGCTTCTACTCCATTGGGTACCAATTGAGCACACCAGAAAACAGACTGCAGCAAGCACATTGAGGGAAAATCCTTGCTGAGCCTTGAGGAGCTGTGAACCTTCACTGTTGAGATTTTAGCCATTGCTGAGGGCGGGCCCTCTTGGCATGAACTCACAAGGTAGCAGGGGTTAGAGAATTGCTGCTTCCTAGAGCCCGCCCTGTTTAGGACTCTTGCACTTCTGAAATCAGGAGGTCTCTGCTGTAAAACACACTCAGACTGTCCACTGTGGAAATGTGAAGAGATGACAAGTTACACTGTATTCAGACAAAAAGGAAAACAAGAAAACACACAGATTTTTTTAAAACCACCAAAAGCAGCTCACTGAGGGGACCCCGGCAGCAGAAGCTGAAGTGCTGTGGATCCACAGAATGTTCTCTTTCCTTCCCAACTGTCGGGGTGGAAGGAGAAGGGGAAGCATGAGAGAATGTCTCCAAGTCCTTGCCATCTTAGAGATCAAGATCATGGTGTTCTTCTGTGTTATTACTATGTATGTTGTAAACACCCTTCCTCCACAAAAGGCCGCTTGGGTCTACAAGAACCACAAGAGACCTGAATCCATTGGATCGTGGCCATCCCACAGTTTCATTTAAGAAAATATGAGGACATGAGATGCAGGGTTTCACTCCTGGTTTTCTGTGGTTGTTTGAGCTTTCCTTAGGCTTTCCTGACTGCTTTACGATGGCCACTGAACCAGTCCAGGTGTTGCTGCCAGTTTTAGAGGTAGCACAGGACCCTTATGATGCTCGACTATGACTGGGAAGGAAATAATGATGGTGGTGGGGTAAGAGTTGGTGAGAAAGATGGGTTTTCACTAGCTGGTACTAATAGAGCCTATAAAAGTCTCATACATATTGCCCTCTCACTTGTCTTCCCATTCAATTCTAGAGTATGCAAATAGATAAATTACTTCTCCAACTCCTTTCTTACACTTTGCTTGCACTAGAAAGGTCTCCTCTCTATTATCTTTTCCTGTAAATTTAAATTTATTATGACTGCATAAATGTCAGGGTACATGCATATGTTCATGTGAACACAGTAGAAGGTATACCAAAGATCCCAAGACCAGGAGAATGTGGGCTGCTGCTTTGTGCGCCTCTAGACCCTTCCCATGCTGAAGGAAAGCTCCATTGTAACACTGGCTTTGTGGGTATGTTGGGGTTGAGTTGGTTCTTCAAGTAGAATCATTCTTGATGTAGAATCATTCTTGATGCAGAATAAATTATTTGCCTCTGCCCCATCAGAATGATTCTACTTGAACATATGCATAGCCTCTGTGGCTATATTCATAGAAATAAAGAAACAAAAGGCAGAATGGATCTTTCTATTCCTGGCAATGGGCCAATCCTAGGGAAAACTGGAACATTTGCTGATGGACATGTTCACTTCTCAAAGGGCTACCTCTGCAGATATAGATCTGACACAGGAAGTTTGTTCTGTTTGATCCAGGGTCCCCTGACCCACTGCGTCCCCCTCTCACCCTTACCCCTCTTCACATCCATATTCTCGCTCAAGTCGTTTGTGGAAAGTTCAAATCCAGGTTATACACCTCTGAGAGCTCCAGGGTTGACTTCACACTTCCGAGGACAATGGAGGTCTGAGCATGTCTGTGTCATCTACTCGAGAATTCTAGTTTTACAAAACATCAGTTTACGAAACAACAACATTGGAATGACTTCAGACTCTTGGTAAACTGGGCTTAGAGACCCCCTCAAAGGTCTTGCTTCAGTAGATGTGATAGTCAGCCCGGTTGGAGTGTTCGGGATTTCTAATTCTAGACTATTGACTCAGATCACAAGTCACTTTAGACAGAGCCCTGGAGCCTTCATTTGAGAAGTTGTTCCGCCAACTCCAATGCTGTGCACCTGGTATTTAAATACAGTTACCATGATGTTGTGTCACATCCAAATGGAAGAAAACCAAGAGTCCCAATTAGTTTGAGTTTTTCTCAAAAATCAATACCTCGAGACTCCTTTTCAGTTACACTGAGATCTAAAAATAGCTGTATAAAGGGATCGTGGACATCAGGCACAATAATGTGCACAATCACATTTCTTATTTCTGGAAGCTATGGACAAAAGTCAGCCACGCTTTGGGGAAGAGCTTCCATGAATCACTGCTTAGCCTGTGCACAGCATAGCCCTGGGAGCCATTCTCACAGGCTGCAATGTGACTGGCGACTCCACAGTTGTTTGGAGCAGTGATTCTTAGAAAAGCAGTGATTCTTTGACAATCAGAAGATACCCACCACCGAGGAAGCAAACATAATGCCTGGAGATAAAAATTCAACAGAAATCAATAGAATGATCTTCTTGCTGTGCAACGGGGTCACCAGTTCCCGCTCTCAGCACATGCACACACGTGTGTATATACGCTTCCTCTTGGACTTCCCTCTCTCTGATTTGGGCTGCTTTTCAGAAGCCTCCCTTTCCCACTCTGTACCAGAGATGTATTGAGAAATGTCACAATGAAGTTGAGGCAGAGTTAACTCAGTGGGGTGATCCCCCCCACTCATGGCTCCGGGTTTCTGGAACTCTTTAATGCCAACCTTGGCAACCTTTACCTCCAGAGCCCTTTTCTTGACACTCAGTCCCATGCAATAAAGCACGTTCATTTCATGCAGCACAGCTCAGTTGATGCGTTTAGCTACAAACACCCCAGTTGAGTACATATAACTCGGTGGGGAGAGGGTCCCTGGAATGAAGGAACATGCAAGCCCAGCAATAGAAGGTGTTGAGACCACACAGAAAGAAGTCAAGGAGCTGCAAAGCTAGAGGAGGATTCCTTTCCCCATTTCAGTTCAGGAAAAGCTTGTCGTTCTACAGTCTACTGATTGGAGGTAGCACTTGCCACAGGGTGTGAGGGGATGCTAATGCCAAGGGAAGTTGGATTCAAACCCAGGCTTCTCTGGGTTTGGGGGATGGAGTCTTCCCTCATTTACAATCCTTTCCTCAAAATCAGTTCTAGGCCTTTGCACTTGTTTTGTTAATTATGCACTAATCTGGTGAATTTCCTTCAGTCTCTTCCACTTTGCAAACTCCAGAACCATTTGACCATTAAGGCTTCAGACATGCAAAGCGCACGGCCTGGGACAGCAGCAGCATCTGGGACAGGAGGCTCCCATCACTTCACATGAGAATGGCATCAATTTTGCAAATCAAACACACACAGGAAACCAGGGGTGGCCCCAGTTGGACATAAGGTATGGGACAGGACGCACAGTTTACTGACAGCCTGGTCCAGGGAGCCGCCTGTTCCTCCAGCTCACAGACAGGTAGTTCACAGCGCCTCAGGCCACTTATGGTTTGCTTACCTGCTCATTGTTGCTCTCCCACCATTCCCCATACTCTCTTTGGGGGTGAAACACTCTATTTCCGACTTGTGCTGGGCCAGTCTCCTGTCTTTGTACCTGGTGAGTATGAACAAAGACAGGAGCAAACAGAAAGACGTGATTGCGTGCTCGACTGCCCGGCTGGACAAGAGCCATGGCTGCAGGAAGGGCCACCCCAGGCCAAACTGGGGTTCCTGGGATCTCTATTCGATGGGGCGGTTATTTGTTCACTGATGGGGATAATTTTGCCAATTCTTGGTTTTGGTTAAGCCTGTTGTAGTCTACTTTCTGCATTACCTGCTAATCTGTGCATTTACCACTCATGAAAATAATAAAAGGAACATGCTATAATTTGCAGTGCCTAACAGTTCATTTAAGAATGGATGAACCCACCCCTTCAGACAAGCTGGTTCCATTAGATATATAGGAACAAGGCCCAGTCTGGAAGCAGCAGTGCCTCTAGAGTGGTACTAGACTGCCTTCCCAGGGAGAGGTTAGGTAGGGGTCGGGTCAATGTGATGGGCACAACATGTGTACCTTCCCAAGTTCTCTTACAGTCCCTGCTGGGACCCCCTTTGACTTGTTTGGTTGGTTCCTAGTGCTACTTCTTTTACAAAATACACTTTGTAGAACCAAAAAAAAAAAAAAGAAAAAAAAGAATGGATGAACAATCAAGAAATGTGAAGTTGTTTATTGCTTATATACTAGGCACAGTGCTAGAAATTGTTTTTGTTTTGTTATTTTTTTTTCAGTGCTAGAACTTTACTGCCACTTAATCCCGACAACAGCCTTGTGGCAGAGACTCTGTATAATTTCATTTTGCAGAAGAGAAATCCTATGACTGTCAGGATTCAATAAACTGACCGAAGGCACCCAGTAAGTGGTGGGGCTGTGAATTGAACTCAGGGGGCCTAAGGCTATAACCTGTAGTTTCAGCCATTATAAAATGTTGACTTGCGAAGAAAAAAATCATTAAAGGTTTATCAATAAAGAATCTTCATCAACTACCTGCTATGCCTAAGGTACTAAATTTACCAAAGAAAGAAATTATGCTCTTTGGCTGAGAAATTTACCTAACTTCATTACACAATTACGCTGCCTTGGATTGATCACTTCCTATTGTGGAGGGTGGCCAAGCAGAATTGCCAGTCCCGCACTCCTGGAGGCACTCCAGGAAAACAAGGTGTGAGATGCCTAGCATTTGTCTGCTGTTTGGTATATCAAGATGAGGCCTTAAAATACAATGACAGCTTTTCAAGCTGAAGTGCTTTCACAGAAGTCATTTTTTTTTTACTTATCATTTTAAACCTGTGGAGTAGATAAGGAAGGCATTGTTATCCACATTTGTCAAACAAGAAACCTGAAGTTCACTAATGTGACCAAAGCCACGGGTAAGTAGAGCGTAACTGCCAATAGTGCTTGAAGATAATAAATAATTTCTCTTCTAAAACTGAATCTGCAAATGAGACTACTTCTCCCATTTTCTTGGGATTCAATAGGCAAAGATAAAGTAAGTTACCAATATCCTAGGTAGATGTATTTATCCGTGCAATAGATACATTATTTGTAATTTCTGTTTTGCTGTCTCAAAATTAATATAAAGTGAAATAACACACAACGTCCTGAAAATAATGATTGAGTTGGTGGTGTGGCCCTTTCTCTTATTTTTATTTTCTTCTGTTGTAAACTGTTAGCAACATTTAGAATTTGAATGAAAAAAATCTTATATCAAGTTAAGTGGATACAACACATCAATTTATTGAATAGATATTAATTGGGAATCTTTTAAGTTCCAGGTAATCGACTTTGTATGAGAGAGAGAAATGATTAACAGGTCTTGGCTTATAGGATCTAGATCAGTGATTCTCAACCTGTGGGTCGCAACCCCTTTGGGGGTCGAACAACCCTTTCACAGGGGTCACCCAATTCATAGCAGGAGCAAAATGACAGTTATGAAATAGCAACGAAAATAATTTTATGGTTGGGGGGCGGGGTCAGCACAACATGAGGAACTGTATGAAAGGGTCGCGGCATGAGGAAGGCTGAGAACCACTGGTCTAGAAAGAAAATGAAGGAGACAAGGTAGAACGTACACAAGTAAACTGAGGTCCAGGCCATTAAGAAGAGAGGACACGATCTGTAACATTGTCTCAGAGGAGGCAAAACTGCCGAACATACTAGATTCAGTAGCTTTTATTTCACAAAACTGCTCTATGGAAGGAATCTTTAAAAAGCACAGTCATCAAATGACACGCCACAGTTCAACCGAGAACACGCTCTGCGGCCTTGTGATTTGGGTTGCATAAACAGAAGACTGTTTTATGACTTAATTTGATGGATGGAATTATTAGTGGCCATTTCCTCATAAAGGTGGGGTCTTCTTAAATACTTTTACATGAAATGCCAGTTAATCCATTTATACTTTTTATTATTATTTTTTAATCATTTTATTAGGGGCTCATACAACTCTTATCACAATCCATA